ATACAAGCTCGAGAAGCATCGCGGCGACTTCTCAGGACCGCTTGAATTCCTGAACAAATGGTACTCACCAATTGAAGAGAATCATCTCGAAGACGTCACTCCCTCAGGCAAGGTTGACGCGAAGAAAGTCGGTCGCCACCTTGTGAAACGCTATCGACACCTAGCGTCATCGGTAAAGCGCGTCATCGCCGATACGAAAGACAGAACCTACGACACAGCCAAGGCATTTCTCCAAGCGTTCCCCGAAGATGGAAATATCGAAATTACGCGTTTTGACAAGAAGGAATTGAACAACGGCACGCGCGCTCTTCTCCCTCACAAGGCGTGCTCCAAGTTCTCCAAATCGCCTGGTACAGAGCAGCAGCAGAAGTTTGTTAAGAACTACGCAAGTGGCGTCGCGAAGCGCTTACGTCCGTATACGCCCGACGACTACGAACTCGATCCCTTCGATGTTTTTGCGCTTCAATCAATTTGTGGCTACGAATCTGCAATTCGAGGAAAGAAATCTCCCGTCTGTGGATTGTTTTCTGATGCCGAGTGGCTTTCGTATGAATATGCCTGGGATATGAAATATGCTCACATGGTCGGGCCTTTCAATCCCCTGTCGAACTACCTCGGTTTTCCATGGTTGTATTCACAGTCTAAGCTATTCAGCAAAATCGACGAGAACTCAGAATTGATTGACGATGAATCATCAGGATGGCCTAAGGAGCAGCGCTTATTTTTCTTCTTCACCCATCGCGAAGTCCCTCCATTTGTCGCTACAGCTCTAGGAATCTTCAACTCGTCTTCCAGCCAAGGATACGATGAATTCCCCACTACACACGTCAACCATGTTCGAGCTTGGAAAATGTCTGATCTCATTCCGTTCTTGGGCCACGTTGGCATGGAGAAGATGACATGCAAGAGACCAGTTGCTAAAGACGGCACATCTGAGAAGGAGGAGTACATCAGATTTATTGCAAACACGGCACCCCGACCCTTGCCTTTATGTCAAAACGGACCAGGGGCAAGTTGTCCATTCAAGGAATTTAAAAAGATTGTTAGTGCGGGTATGGAGAAATATGGGGACTTTGATGGTGTTTGCGAGAACAAACAAGAGAAGGATGATGAGTTGTAATGCGACAGCACTGCGGCAAAACAGAACAGATTGTACAATACTAGTAATTTCCGTTGCTTTCATAACTTCTATGTAAATGTAACCTTGACAACCCGGATCCAGTTGTTGTTGGTGAAACCAATCGTCAACGTCTCGCCAGATTCATCCAAATGCGGGTATGCTATTCCGGCATACACCAGACCCCCATCAATGGGCTCATCCTTGTAAATCTCCTTTCCCTCTGTCCAAGGACCTTCGGGACTGGGCGCTGTCTTCAAGAAGACTATACCGGCTTTTTCAACTCTGTCAGTAATGGATAAAACGCCATAGGAGAGCGTACGTACAAAGATCAAGGTGAACGTAAAAGTACGTCTGGAAGTGATTGTTGTACACAATCTGTCCTTGCCCAACACCCCACATAACGGCTGTTTCGCAGTTGAACGTGGTAAGAACTTCACTCTTCCATCCTTCTTGTCTTCCCCACCAATACTCATACTTATCGAGGTCGAAGGCATCTTTTGCAGGGACGCGAGCCATGTAGATGTACAGCTTATCAGGGAACTCTGTGATTGGGTTGGGTGGGTTCCCAAGGATATAGATGTATTCGCTGTTGACGTCCCGATACGTTGCGACATCGCCGTATTTGGGTACCTCATCACCATTCCACCAGATACCATTCTCGCCGTAGCGGTCGGTGATATGTGGGACGTCGTCGATGAGCTCAACTTTGGCTACTCCAGCGCCCTTGTAATGCTCGTTGTCATTCTAAAGAATTCTAGGTCAACCAAATCTTGTATAGGAACTGGTACAACTTACAACGAGATAATAGAGAGCACCAGTAGCAGTATCAGGGTCAACCTCCACGATGCCAGTCCCTCCGAAGCCAAACGTGTTCGTCTCGCCCCAGTCTTCATTGAATGGCATAAACTGCTTCTGGTGAGGAACCGGCTCATCATCATTCAGATGCAGGTCCTCAACAACAAGAGGATCATCTGTCAGAGCAGAAACAGCATTTCTGACCATGCCATGAAATCCCTCATTATCGTCTTCAGGATCGGTGACACCTGAATCGCACCATAGCACATCGCCGTAAACAGCATACCATTTTCCTCCAAGTTGACCTGTAAAGCCAAGGTCGCGACGACTCGCTGTGTTGCTGGATTTTTGGGTGCCAAGAAACTCAACCTGAATATCACCGATCGGGTTCTCCCCCTCTGGTTGCGTATTATCAACACTCATTATACCTGAAAAAAATCGACTATACAGAATATTTCCCAGTACAAAGAAGAGAAGCGTCTGACAATAGCGATCTTTTATCTTGACGTGTCTCTTCATGGTAAACTTGGCAATTCCATCTCCAAAGAGGGGGTCCAGCCGTTGCCGAGGCTCATGTGCAAGTGCCAATGCATGATCGGCACCGAGTATCCGATGGAAACCTGTCTTGAGTTATTGCAGGATTGAGACGCATATAATGCCAAGTTTCTACGATCTTTATGCCAGCTTAGGGTAGATACAGCATAGTGCCAAAAGTGAAGCTCCTGATAAGATAGGCGAGGTGAGTTTTTTTTGCTTTTTGCTTTTTGATGATGACGAAACGGCCCGGCAGCCGGGAGTGGCGCCGCGGGCCGCTAAAACAAGCCTGTGGCGTCATTAAGGGAATCATACGAAATAACGTTTTCAATGGAGTGTTTGGTTTTCAAATGAACTATGTCGTACATGCATATGCAACGGCACTTCTGACTGTAATCTTTAATAAAACTTGCATCGTTGATAACGTTCAGAGTGTATTACTGGCCTATTGAGTGCCACTCGGCCCAAAAACTGGACCGTTACCTCCAAAATCCACTTCAATGGCGATGAGACCCAATTATCGAATTACTTTTATGTAATTCTGGATGAGAACTCTCCCGGCTCGGCGGTACTCGGTCATGCAGAGATTTCGATCTGAATCGTCAACAGGTGAAGTTTAAAAGCTCTCCAATTCATTTTCTCAAAGAAAGGGTCTTCTATGTCATGAAATTTGGGGTAGTGCAGCTGCATAGCCTACCACCGGCAGCAGCACTACAGGGCTGATCTTCCTGCATTAAAAACGTGGAAAACTCTCTTTACTGCAGGTACAAGATTGAAGATGGGTCCTCAAGGAAACTAGCTCTCACAAACCCCATCGATAGCCCCCTTTAGTATGGTTTCACTGGTGATCGAGCCAGGGAGAGGGACGAGTTAATCGAGCACGCAATCGCACGCAATATTGATAGAGACATATAATAGAATTGATGAACCGCCTATTCTGTAAGCTTCAAGTCTTTTCTCACTTCTTGCCCGTTGGCTGCTTCTCAAAATGGCCTCTTCACACAATGGCTCCGTCGTCAACCTTCCAACCGCCTCCCCCACAAAACCATCATTCTTCCGCTCGATCCCCTTTCAAATTGCCATAGCATGCGGTGTATCTTTCACAGCACCCGGGATGTGGGACGCCCTCGGTGGTCTCGGCGCTGGAGGTGCAGCCGAACCATATGCGGTATCAGCCGCTAATGCACTCGTCTATGGATTATTCGCGGCTGTTTGTATAGCAGCTGGTGCGATTAACAACAGAATTGGTCTTCGCTACGGTCTTGCGCTTGGAGCCATTGGATATCCGATTTATGGCGCTGGGCTTTACACGAATAATGTGGCGCCAAAGACGTGGTTTTTGCTCTTTGGAAGTGCGCTTTGCGGTATCTCGGCGGGTTTCTTCTGGGCGGCTGAGGCAGCCATTATTATTGGATATCCCAGTCCCAAGGACCGGGCCTTTTATCTTGGTAAGTTATGAAATTGGACGTGGAATCAGCTCACATAAACTAACGAGGGATAGCCATTTGGCAAACTGCCAAAGCAGCCGGCCCAATTGTCGGAGGTGCCATCAATCTCGGCCTCAACGCGCAAACCTCGTCGAAAGGATCCGTCAGTTCAGCGACTTACATTGTATTTATCGTCATTATGTGTCTCGGTCTACCCATAGCCCTACTCCTAAGTCCTGCAGAGAAAGTCCAGCGAAAAGATCGCACCCTCGTCGTCGTTCATAAGCAACCCTCTTGGTTGGCCGAGTTCAAGGCTGTCTTGTCGCTCCTCGTCACCAGGCGCATGCTGTTATTGATCCCTGCTTTCTTCATCAGTTACTTCTATAACGGCTTCATGAGCACTTGGTTGACAACCTACTTCACCGTTCGAGCTCGCGCCTTTTCGTCGTTCTTCACCAACTTCTCGGGAATTATCAGTTCATTCCTGATCGCTGGTTTGTTGGACCGTCAGTCCATTTTCATCAAGACTCGCGCTAGAATTGCGTTTGCTTCCATCATCTTTATTCTCATTGGCACATGGATCTGGGCTTCAATCCTCCAGAAGCAATTCTACGATGCCGAGGAGCCACCTGTCTTTGATTGGTTCAAGGGCGGTTTCGGCAAGGCTTATACCCTCATCTTCTTCTGGCAATTTGGAGGTCAAGCTTTCCAGCAGTTCTTGTACTGGCTTGTTGGACAATACACCACTGATATCTCCTCTTTGTCTTATCACTGTGGTATTCTCCGAGGATTTGAGGCTCTCGGTCAGACTGTTGCCTGGGCGTAAGTACATCTTATTATCTTCACTGCGACAGACTCTAACGAAAAACAGTATGCAATCAGAAGGCAACGCCAACCATTTTGTCAGCATCGGTCTCAACTTTGGAATCACCATCTTGTGTATCGTGCCAACGTGGATTGTGTTATCTGGACTCGAGCACAGCCATGAAATTACGGTCACAGCTGATGAGGCGTCTTCGACAAAAGACCAAGATCCCGATGCCAAAGCATAAGTTTTAACATAATATTCTATAATGATAATAATATCTTTCAACAAGAAATAAAATCAATCAGTTCCCATATTGCTAGTGATACAAAGAAGCAGGTCTCGGTCTAGGACCTGTACTTGACCTCGGTCTCGTCACAGCAAGTGGCGGGGGCGATATAGGCATTGACGTAGATCTGCCAACGCCTTGTACAGAAGTATCGCTACCTATAAAACTCCCAGGTCGTGATCTCACAGGACTCAGCTCATCGTCTTGGTGTTGGTCTCTCTCAATCTCAACCGCTGATACACCCAAGTCCCGAAATTGTTCCCCTGGTATCATCGGGAAATCAACACGGTCTGGTCTTTTGACTTTGGGCTCCGTGATAAAATCATGCGCTGGTGTACCGATCATCTCGCCGAATCTGAAAAATGCATTCTCTATTTTTTGTCTGTAGGGATTGCGAGGGGGTTGATTGTGGTCTTCGTAAACTGAGGGGTCTCGAAGTCGTGAGGATATTGAGGAGCGGGGCTGAGTTGGCTCGAGGTGCGGTGATAATTGGTTGTTTGTACGCGTATCAGTGTTTGTGACAGTCAATGTGATATGGTGGCTGTTCAGTGATGAAATACTCTCTTGGTGAGAGACTTGACTTATTTCGTCATTAAAATGACAATGAGAACAATTGCAATGATGCGATGGATATGGCTCGCCTGCTTGATCGGCATGTCTTGCTAGAAGGAGATAAAGTGATCCGATCATGGCCATCGCAGTGCCTGTGATAGGTGCCCATTGGCCTTGAAAGCATCCTTATTAGTAACCATACATAAATTAGTGGGATATGCTTACCGATATTGGCCATTGGCTCTGTCTGGTAATTGACTTGAGGGCTGAAAAAGTTAATCTCGCCGACGATAAGAATAGCCAAGCCAGCACCACCAAAAACGGGAATCGCTAGGATACGAAGGAAGAAACCAATGGTATCATTGACTTTCTTCATGACACCTTTATTGGCGCTCTCATCATCTTCACTTGCCGCGTCGTCGGTCGGTTTTCCGAATCTTCGGCGCCAGTTGATTTCAAGCACTCTATCCCACATAGAAACGAGACATAGGACCGCATGTATACAACAGGCTGCAGCGAGCAAAGTCGCGGTACCGAATGTGAGGGTATGTGGTGCAGGTATGACATAGATATTGTTCGCGGAACCTCCCCGCATTGGAGATGATGGACCGTCTTGCGTTGAACACGTCAGGTTGCAGTTGTTTCCTTCGATGTAGTGAAACTTGGACGCGTTAGGTGATACTGAATTGCCCGATGCGTCAACTAAACAGGAGTGAGTTTCGATGCGGTAAAACTCGATTGTCATACTCAAAAGACCTAAGCTCCGGTCAGACGATAGGGACGTTTTTGTCAAGGTTCAACTTACCGATCAATAACAGAAACGTCCACAGAAAAATAGTGTTTCTACCAGGATCATTAAAGTATGTCTTTGACAGCATAACCGTTACCGGTGCTGCCAAAATACCAATTGCGCAGAGCTGAAAGGCTCCAAAAATATCCATATCGACCGCATCTTTACCAATTATCAGCTGCGTAAGTTTCATTTTCGGTTTATTGCTCACTGGGATTGTGCATTGCCGTCAAAACTATGCCGTGAATAGCGGCAACAGCTGGCAGCACTAACGCAGCGGCCAAACAAGGATTCACCAGCCATTCCTCCCTCCTCGCGACAAGGCACGCAGCGATGAGGACATAGTATCTGAGCAACTGTCAGTTTCCTATCAATTGACTCACCATTGAACTTACAAAACTCGAGTACCTGTTCCATACTGTCCAGAAACAGGCCATGCGCAAATAACTTGCAGCGCCTCACCAGTCTCATTCGCAGCCCGCGAAAAAAGAACACTATTCGCTATTGTCTCAGCCGCATCGGTAACAGAAAGCGCAGGCATATCGACATTCTAGAAGTCTTGGCAGGGTTAAATCCGTGGGGAAGAAAGAGAAAATGCCAAGTCAGCCCAAAATGTGGGGGAATAACAAGATCTTAGCAGAAGCTTCTTTTTTATTTAATACCCGCATGTTCAACGATGAGGCCTTACCATAAACGTCACTGGGGAGTCATTAACGGCCAGGCTTCTACTTTTCGAGTGGTGAGCATTCAGCTGACATGGTGGCACAGCCACGAAGATCACTTGAGCCGGGCGAGAATTGGGGGCCACGAGCGCTGTGTTCTTAGTGTAGGGGGAGTAGAGTAGTCTCTTCTAAGCATAGCTCGGGTTGCATACTGCGTTGCGTTAGGCATCAACAAATGTACCCTGTCACGAGAAAGAACGGCGAACCCTTCTAGAACAAATTTTCTTCTTTTCTCCTTCTCCCTTCGTTTCTCATGTCAGCCCTGTTTTTCTGTTTCAGCCAGAGATCGAACGGCAGAAGGTCATCGAACTGAAGCTACTGTCGGTCCTTTACCTCGAAAGATGCTGACACTACGACACTCTTCTTCCTTTCAATTGGCCACTTGTCGTAAAAAACCCCACTTTGGATAGGCCCCACCATTCGTCGTCAGGTTTTCACTGTATTTAACCTGAGAGTGCCATTTTTGACTTTACAGAAAATCGAGTTGATCGAATCCCCTCAGCCAAAATCATGGTCAAAGGCGTGGACACCAGCGAGATACGACAATGGCGCTCAATACTAACGTTGATAGTCTTTGTACTCGCCAGTAAGAAACACCCTCTCACAGAATACATAGCGTGCACTGACCCGGTTCTACAGACATTCTCGTACTATGGCCATTTCACATGCCCATCTACATCCCGAAATCCCTCGTCAATTTAATATGCAGATTCGCGGTCAAACTACGGGTTATTCCCCCGAGCACGCATCATGCGATTCTTCATGATAACCCGAGATGTTCCAAGTATTTTGTCAAGGTCACTTTTCCCGTCAATTTCATCACTGCGCCTTTGATTGCGGATCTCTTCCTACTAGCTATTTCTGCGATAGGACGCCAAGAGGTTTACGATGGGACGATAGGCGCTGATAATATCCACCCGATTGATATAATGGTCTTCTTCATCACTCTGGCTTACATCGCTATCTCTATCGATGCATCGGGTATCATTCGATGGCTGGCCTTCAAGGTGTTGTCGTGGGGAGGAAAAGTTGGCCATCGACTCTTCTTCTACCTTTATTCATTCTTCTTTCTACTCGGCAGCTTCATCGGCAATGATCCCATCATCTTATCTGGAACGGCATTCCTCGCGTATATGACGCGCGTATCGAGCAACATCACGAGTCCGCGAGCATGGATCTTTACTCAGTTCGCAATCGCCAACATCGCCTCAGCAATTCTCGTCTCGTCAAACCCAACCAACCTCGTCCTCGCTGGGGCCTTCGACATCAAGTTCATCGTCTACACCGCCAACATGATAGTCCCAGTCGTCGTCACCGCCGTTGTCCTCTTCCCGTTTCTGCTCTACGTCATCTTCGCTGACGAAAAGCTTATCCCTTCCAAGATTGAGATGCACAGCTTACCAGAAGAGGCTAGAGCCCAACGGCCCGTGAACCCCAACATCCCCTACGTGCAGCACCAAGTCGAAGACGCCGAAAGTGCAGGCGAGGGTATGACGCTGTCACTTGCGTACATTATGAATCCTTTTCTTGACAAGAAGGGCGCCATGTTTGGTGCGCTAATTATGTCCGCGACGCTCATTACTGTTCTGGCTCTCAACGCTGCTAGTGCCGGAACTGGAGAGCACCCTGTTTTCTGGGTGACTCTCCCAGCAGCGTTTGTCATGTTCTGTTGGGACCTTGGTTTTGGGTGGTTGCATCGCAAGGAGACGCGGCAGACGGCCGCTCATTATCGACGAGAGATGGAGCGTGCGAGAGCTGAACGCGCAAGATTTGCGGCGGAATATGCTGGCACTTCACAGGATAAGTCTGAACCTGATACCGACACGGTGACTGGTCTTCCTGATAACCAAGCCTCGGAAGATTATGGCCAGTCTCATGGCATTTCGCTCACTCCGTTACAAACCTCCAATGACCAGCCCAGCTCACAGTCTATCCCCAAGGTGATTTTATCAAACACAGCCGGAAACAGTCCTGTCATCATCTCAGGATCATTACCTCAATCACCCAACTCAGGTCCATCATCGCCAAGCGATCAAAACACATTGCATCCCGGGGCTTTATCAACACTACCAAGTCCTCAAATGGAACCAGAGAAGCTCGAGGCTGCTCGACCCATGAAAACAGAACCCGAGGAGAGATCGACTCTTCTATCCGAGGCTAGAAAAGGCTATGCGTCGCTCGAAAAGGCTTACTTGTGGCTGCAAGAGACATTCCCAACAGTCATGGCCGTCATGGCTCATCTTCCGTTCGCCTTAGTCCCGTTTGCCTTCGCCATGTTTGTACTAGTCCAGGCACTAGTGAGTAAGGGCTGGGTCAACGTATTTGCATATGGCTGGTATCATTGGTCCAAGCGTACTGGCACCGTGGGAAGTATTGGAGGAATGGGCTTCCTTTCGTGTGTCTTGTCCAACGTAAGTCCCTTTCAAAAGTAATGATTTTGAGAAAATGCTAACAATACATAGTTTTCCGGCACTAACATTGGTACCACTATCCTGCTATCACGCATCATCCAAGCTTGGAAAGAAATCAACTGCCACGACGCCCAACTCATCAGCGACAGAACATACTGGGGCACAATCTACAGTATGGCCGTCGGAGTCAACTACGGAGCATTCAGCACCGCCTTCAGCGCATCACTAGCCGGTCTTCTCTGGAGAGATATCCTTGCTCGAAAGCACATTCACGTGAAGAGCCACGAATTCGCCCGAGTCAACTTCCCCATCATTGCTATCTCAATGGCTGTTGGCTGTCTGATATTGGTGGGAGAGGTCTACATCGTGCGGGACAACTCACCATACTCCACATTTGAAAAGGCTTGCCCGAATAATTAATAAAGGAGCATATAGATAGCATAATTATAGACTGTACATAGCAACTCAGAACATACCCATGAAATAGACTTCTCATGCTGTTATTAGGCGACGGTTGAGTCCCTTTGACCCGACTCTACCCATCAGATCCACGCTCTTTGCGCAGGCGCTCTAAAACCCAGTCCAATTTACGAAATCCACCATCAGTCTCAATCCATGACGGCGCACTCCAGCTTTTAGTCTCGGCATTATGCTCTTTGAGGAGACTCATTAACTCGGTAGTATTCTCATTTGCGGCCTTCAGAATCTTATTCACCGCCTTCTCATCATCCAAATCTGCTTCTTTTAGAGCCGGAAGCCATTCTGGATAACAATATCTCCGGTACACCAGGTCCAATGCCGTTCGGCCATAGTCATCCGGAATATTTGGGTTCGCGCCGTACTCGAGAAATCGTCTCACAGCGAAATAATTGCCAGATTCGGCGGCTATGGCTATAGCTGTCATCTTGTAGGGTCCCGCTGTGTTGTCAAGCTGGTCTTTAGTGTTGTACTTCCGAAGAAGCTCGACAATCGCGATTCCAGCAACCTCATGGTCTTCAGCGAACTCCCCCATGTATTTAATGGTGAAGTGGAACAAGGAAAAGGTATCATGGCCGACGTTTACTAAGAATCCATCGGAGCCATTGCGGTCCGGAAGACTGAGCAAGAACTTGACCCGATGGAGGGCATTCCTAGTACCCGTTAAGAGCATGTCTGATATTATACTCTTCCTCATCGACGTCGGAATGCGATCCCTATCCGCGCCATGATCAAAGAGATACTGGGCAACAGCAAGATTTCCACTGTAAGTGGCAGTATAGAAAGCGCTGAAAGGCTCTGGTGTGATAGGGTCAACTGGGAGGCCCTTTTCTAGAAGCTTCTCAACGAAGTAGATGTCATCTGTTTCTTTGGCAGCACGGTGCAGCGCGTTGAGGCCATCAGCATCTACCGCATTGACATCTGCACCAGCGTCGACAAGGGCTTTGAACATATCGCGATCGCCATGCGTAATAGCCAGAAAAAGAGCCGAGCCTCCACTGGATATCCTGCCGAATGTCGCGTTGATCTGATTCGCAAAGCCAAACTCCAGACCTGAAACCATAAGGTCTGCCGCGCATTGATGGTACGCTGTTGCAAGCACTGCTGCCATCTTAACATTGCCCCCGAGTTGCAGGACAGCATCAGTAGGTGCGCCGTTCTCAATTAGGGCTTTCATGGTCTTCTTTGTCTCCAATTCAAAGTCAACTCCCACTGTTAACAGCCGCTGCCAGCGAGGGGTTCCGGATATAACATGGAAAAGAGGCAAATACAGTAGTTCGCCTCCACCTACCATTGGTTTTAGCTTGCTGGCCTCCGGCTGAACTAACGGCTCTTGAAGAAGCCGTTCGACAACTGGTGAGTAGCAAAGTCCACATGCCAGTTCAAGTGGTGAGAGGTGCGACCCCTCCCCTTCCTCTACCTCCATACAGAATGTTGGATCTGCCCCCAGTTTAAGGAGAACGTCTACTGCAGTGAGTCTTTTCTGTGTGATAGCCCAGTGCAAAGGTGTGTGAGCCAAAATTCCATCTCCGTCAACACTAATTCCATACTGGGTGCGTGATATTGTACTAGCAGGGGAATTCAGCTCGGCGCCTTTTCTGACCAGAAGTTTTGCGATGGTTTCGTGGTCTTCGTCTTCGAAAGAGCAGAGCCAGTGAAGAGGCGTTATACCTCTTTCGTCCGCCATCTGTGCAGCAATCCCGCAGCTGGGGTGCTGCAATATCGTCTCCAGAACACGCCTTCGACCAAGACGAGCCGCGAGGAGTAGAGGCGTCTCCTCATTCTGTAAGACTAACTGGGTCAACCTATGGTTTTGATCTAGACAGGTGGCCGTCACATCTGGCTTGTCCATAACAATACTCCACAAAAGTAGATCTCTGGAATAAGAGAACTCGACTTCATTCAGGGACAAGGCTTCCAACATGGACAACAAGTCCTCAGCTGTGTTTGCGTCAGCGTCGAGACGAGTTAGTTCATCGAGCTGGACCTCCTGCTTCAGTTGGCGCCAGTCGGAAGGCCAGCTCTCTTTCAGTTTCTGAAGAGCAACTGGGTTTCCAGCTTTGGCTGACTCGACAAGCCAGGTACGTAACATCTCCTCATCCGGAGCCTCTTGATCAGGAACATGAGAGAACACAGATATATAGAGGGTGCGGGCCTCGTTGGAACCGAGCTGGGCTGCTTGACGAATATAGTAAGCCGCTAGTTTGAGGTCGTACGCAACTCCTATATCGTCCATATAGGCACCAGCGATGTTAAAAGCGGCTTGCGCTCTTTCCTTCTGATTGGTGGATGTCTCAAAGATAGATTTCAGGCTGTTAAAAAGAGCGACCCTGACGGGCTTTGGAGTCTTTTGCAAGATGTTTGAGCTTTTCTGAATCTAAATTGAGTTAGTTTCGCTTTCGATCTCTACATTTGCACTATAACAAACATTAGGGATGAAGTCTTGGTCTTTAAAAAGCTGCATTGGCTCCGCTTTCGACTTGGTGGTAACCCTATCCATGAATTAGCTTAGCGTCCCAAGATTGAATTCAGGGGGTTGAAAACAAGCTTTTGGCCAGATAATAGGCTAAGGTAGGGTACTAACAATGAGAACAATTCGGTGTTGAATGGCTCATTTAAGAGACCCACACAGTCCAAGATCAGTAAACATGCATTCACAGCCGAAATAGGCTGAGCTCCACTGGTTTCGCTTGGATTTGCTTCCCTGGGTAAGAGCTGCGATATGGTAGGTAAGAGCTCTGACATCGTCTTCTCAAGTCTCGATTTTGAAATTCCCTGGAGCGCAGCGATAAAAGGAGTCTCGTCTTGACTGAACGAGGAATAGTAACGCTCATGTGCTTTTGGCAAGAAGTGAGTCATCATATTACATATCTGCCATGGGTCAATGCTTGCCGGGGTGTTCTGCAGACCGAGCTCCTGGCGGAGATATGCAAATACCACAGTAGTGAGACCTTTGAGGATCATCCTTTCGGACCTCTCATCATCTGTCGTAGGGATCTTGGCTCTGTACACGATGCTCTCGAAGGTAGGAAGTGCAGCTTTCAGAGCGCTGGCATCTAGAGTATCACGCCCATCCGTGCTGTTGACAAGAGACCTTGTAATTTCGAGATGATCGATAATTTTAGACATGCCTGAGAATCGCTTCTCTGGAGAGCACTGCAAGCATGTGAGAATGAGTTTCGCAAGAGTCATGAGTGGATATTTCTCGTTTCGCAGACGATGTAGGACATTGAAAGTAGCAAGGCTGGCTATCAGGTTAGTCTTTTTAAGTTTCCAAATACTCTCCAGCTTATCGCCATCTGGTAAAGTGCTGTGGTAAGCCACTCCGTCGCCGAGAATCGTCCATAGCGTCAAGCCGAAGGAGTAAATGTCTTGCTGGCGAAGGTATCGGCTATTAAAATGTGCTGTCTCTGCCTCAGGTGCACGGTAGACCTCGGTACTTCCGATGAGCTGGCCTCCTTGCATTGGCATCACGAAGCCAAAGTCGCTGATTTTAACAACGGTCTTTTTGGTTGGATGTTTGAAGACGAGAAGATTGGAGGGCTTAACATCACCATGGACAATTCCTGCTTCGTGGAGGCCTCCAAGTCCTCTGGCTGTATCGACAGCTATGTCTAGCTTCTCATGCAGCGACCGTGCGTAGCCTGCTTCTTGATATGACTTGAGACTTCCATACTCAGCATATTCAAGCACCAGAGCGGGAACAACAGTTATCCCCTCCTTGTTTCCGGTATCATGATACATGACAGCCAACAAGTCAACGATGTTCTCATGTTTCTGAACAGGAGGGTGCCTCAAGATCTGTAGCTCCAAGGCTATGTCGGCAAATGACACAGAACCATCATCTTGAGTTCTTGGATGTTTAACGGCGACATATTTGCGGCCTTTCAAGATCTCCGTACCCAGGCCAATCGGAAAGGAAGACGCTTTGACTTTTCGAACGTCGAACGAGCCACCACCAAGGGATACATCTTGGAATGTGGGGGCGGCATTCGATATCACAGGCTGCAGGCCAATAGTGTTGTGGCCATTTGCGAAGGATACTGCTATAAATCCCGCAAAGTGAGGGCAGTGAATGCCAGGAGATGGAACGGGAATAGGCTCTGCACTAGTGGACTCTTGATTCTCTTGAGGCTGTTGCCGAAATGTGAATGCTGAAGAGAACTCCATCTTGGTTATACTACAAGGTGAAAAACATGCGACTTCTCGTAAATCCCTCGACGTTGATATCATGATTCTGAGGTTACACATGACCTCAGGTTGCAGGCCTCACCGGATTATCAATTTACCCCGCCACGGTGCAGAAACCCCGCAGTTGATATGCTGCGGCTCAAGTTCTCATATTCCCGGTATTATTCTTGAAATCATCAGGAATCCGACGTGTCTGTTTCGCGTTGGACCCAATACCAACATGGTGAGCGATTTAGTTGATTTCCAGGTCGGAGCAGCCGGTCTCGGAATCGGGGCATTCGGTGGCCTGATAGACGCTTTCACAGCTTGCTCAAGGATTTATGGCCTATGGAAATCACTACGGGGTCTCGATGGGTATCTTGACCTGCTCCGCACTAAGCTTATACTCCAAGAAGCTCTGTTAGACCAATGGCAGAGAGACTGGCTCGATCAACCAACCTCTAGGCGAATCGACATTCAGAAGCAACGGATTCTTCAGAGACACAAAGATGCTGTTCTCGCCTCATTAACGACAGTAAAAATACTGCTCGAATCACTGGAGCCACTCCGGGAGGCCTCGGGATCAGGACTGGCACTCGAGCGCCTGAAGTTGGTGACTGGCGGAGCCGAAGAACACGATAAGACGCTTGTGCAGATAAGCGCAGTTCTCAGCGACTTGTATCGCTTGCTACCAACTCGAGATCCAAATATCGCCCTTTCACAAACAGTGTTGTCCTTAGAGCATATCGGCAATAATCAGCAAGTACTATTTCAGGACAGCGACTCGACTCAACATGTTATACAGCCTGATAAGCTCAAACGAGCTATCAACTTTCGCCAGCTAGGATACGACCTTGATGAAGACTTGGAAAAGCGAGTCGCGGCGTTCAAGAACAGTACTGGCGATGCTGATCTCACCATTCGCTTAGACAGAGTCAAAGTTCTGAAAGATGACGACGTCGCTGGTGGACTAAGAAGTTTTGGAACACTTGACTCCAAAACTCCGGTAGTCATTGAGTGGAAACGTTATGACCTTACCTGGAAAGGACAGAAAGGGATCAGGCTTAGAGGAAGAATCCAGAATATTGCACGACTCTTGCATGCCAATGCAAAGCCCCAAGAGCTTTTGACTCTCAACTGCCTGGGAGTGTTTGAGGACATTGAGAAGACTCGATATGGTCTGATCTTTGACTATCCTCTGGGAACCAGTGAACAAACAGATTTGGTATCTCTACAAGCGTTGATCAAATCACCAACGCCTGAGACTCTACCAACCCTGGGTGATCGATATCGAATGGCCTACACACTGTCACTCTCACTGGCCATCCTTCATGCATCAGGATGGCTCCATAAGAGCATCAGGAGCCATAATATCATGATTCCAGTGCGTCGTAATCAGCCCATCTGGTCTCAGCCATACCTCGTCGGTTTTGAATTTTCACGACCAGATTCAGCCGACGAGACAACCGAAAAGCCCGAACAAAGCGTACGCTTCAATTTATATCGTCATCCTTCCGCACAGGGTATTCCAGGGGAATCATACCGCAAAGGCTTCGACATCTACAGTCTCGGCGTCGTCCTTCTCGAAGTTGGTCTATGGCGCGTAGCATGGAGTCTACGTCGCGACGATGAGAACCCCGCCAAGTTCAAGGAAGTGCTGCTCAGCAGGGTAGACGACAGACTAGCTCACTTCATGGGGACAGAGTATCAAGAGGCGGTAAGGAGTTGCCTGAACGGTGATTTGGATCATAGGGAGGGATCGGTAATACGAGCTTTCTACAATGAGGTTGCGGAAACTATGTGCTCATTGGCGGAGTCACAGCCGTCGTGATTGCAACATCTCTTATCTGCTATAGTCTAAGAATGATAATACAGGACTTTTGTACTTAACTCAGTTTAGCCTGGTTTAAGGGACTTTGTTAGTGCTGTGTTGTATCAAAGCGTCTAGCTTGGACAATCCCTGTATGTCGTCCGAAATCCCGACAGGGGTATTGAAAGGCCTCGGTAATGGTGTCTCTAGCTACCCTGAAGAGTAGGTGAACTCCAGTGTTTCATGAATGTTTGACAGGAGTTGGGGAACGCATGTTGGTATTTATCGCATGATTGAATGAAATTATTATGACTATTGTTTTATGTCGTTCGGTTCGGTGAAAGTTGTTGATGCCCAATCGCACCTAGCTGGCGATTCTCAGAGTGAGATGATTCGGCGCACGGCCTCCAAATGATCTGCATAGAAGCTTCGAAGCGACTCGTCCGGGGTCAAGAGGTCGTCAACGCATGACTTAATGTTATCTAGGGCCAAAGGAGCAATGCCGTCCAGCACACACTAACCCACGCGACTAAGAGCGGATAAGGTATGATCTGCAGGGGTATCCGCATCACGAAATCTAACTTGTCTATTACGCTTATCGTAACCGCCGCCTCGACCAATAGCATCGTCTCCTGGCAACCCCTACTCGTTTTAGAATGGTTATGTCCTGAAGGTTCACATGATAAACTAACCAATAGTTCCTTTACAAAAGCAGTTTAATCACGGATAGATCCTAGGTCTCAGCTGCACCCATAACAAACGTCCCTCCGCCTCCATTGCCGAGTCCCGATCCAGCTCCCTATCAGGGCCTTAGCAATGCCGAATTCTCCGGACATAGTCGGCGGTAGCATCCCTTCTTGGTAGGTGCTTAAGCCAAGACTGGCGATGCCCCCCTGTCGCACCCCGGCGGAACTGCTCGTTGTTTACTAGACATATTCATTCCGCTCCTGCAATCAAGATGCCTAGAGAAGACCTTTTGTTAGGTAAAGGGGTCGCTGGGGCTTTGGTGGGGCAACCACCTCATGGCCGCCACGATTCATGGAAGCAGCCAAGAAGCCAAACAGATGCCAAGGACGGGAGGCTGCATAGACAGATCAGCCAAGGAATTTAGGTCCGGCACCTATCGCGCGGATCAAAGGGACTAATCACGTCAGAGATGTACCTCTTTTCTCGGAAGGTGGCTCGGATGTTGGAAGCCGAGCGATGTGTGGGCCAGAGATAGAACAAGCATCACCATATGGTTATATGGCGGAATGGCTCTATCAATGTCAGACTCCGTCGAGTCAGCAAAGATATATAAGTTGATATAGGAACCGTCCATCTTGGAACTAATCATCATCACTCACTCACTCTTCTCTGGTCTCATCTCTATCCATAAGTCTCTCACCGACATCACGATGCCTTCCATCCACGCTCTTCTCACAGCCTCTCTGGCCTTTGCTTCCATTGCCCTCGGCGCCCCTGCTGCCCAGGATAAGAAGTTCACCGTTGAGCAAGTCAAGAACCCCAAGTTCATCAAGAACGGTCCTCTCGCTCTCGCCCACGTCTACGCCAAGTATGGCGTTCCTCTTCCCAAGGGCCTCGAGAAGGCTGTCAAGGCCGTGAGACCTCCTCACGCTCACTCCAAGCGTCAGAATGGCAGTGGAAGTGCCACCACTACACCCGCCGATGAGGATGTCGAGTGGCTGACACCTGTCCAAATCGGTACTCCTGCTCAGACCTTCAACTTGGACTTCGACACTGGTTCTTCCGATCTCTGGGTCTTCAGCACCGAGACAACTGGTAGCAGCGGTCACGATGAGTACAACCCTGCCAAGAGCAGCACAGCCAAGAAGCTCTCTGGCGCTACATGGAAGATCAGCTATGGTGACGGAAGCTCCTCCTCTGGAGATGTCTACAAGGACAAGGTCTCCGTCGGTGGCCTCGTTGTTAGCTCACAGGCCGTTGAGGCCGCCCAGAAGGTCTCCTCCGAGTTCGAGCAAGAGACTGGTCTCGATGGCCTCCTCGGTCTCGGCTTCAGCTCTATCAACACCGTCAAGCCTACCCAGCAGAAGACCTTCTTCGACAATGCTGCCAGCACCCTGAGCTCACCCGTCTTCACTGCTGATCTGAAGCACCAGAAGCCCGGAAAGTACAACTTCGGCTTCATCGATAGCACAGCCTACACTGGCAAGATCGGATATGCCCCCGTTGACTCCTCCGACGGCTGGTGGGAGTTCACCTCTACTGGCTATGGTATCGGCTCTGCCGCCATCAACAGGAGCCCCATCACTGGTATTGCTGATACCGGTACTACTCTCCTCCTCCTCCCCGACGATGTCAACTCCGCATACTATGCCAAGGTCAGCGGTGCCCGATACAGCTCTAGCTATGGTGGATATGTCTTCAGCTGCTCTGCTACCCTCCCCAGCTTCAGCTTCGTCGTTGGCGGTGTTACCATCACCATCCCTGGCTCTTACATCAACTATGCCCCTGTTGAGGACGGATCTACTACCTGCCTTGGTGGTATCCAGCCTAGCGACGACATTGGCATCAACATCTTTGGTGACATTGCTCTCAAGGCTGCTTTCGTCGTATTCGATGGCGGTAACCAGCAGGTTGGCTGGGCCAAGAAGACACTGTAAGTGACTTCAGTAGCTGGCGGATGAGACTGTAAATATCTGGATCTTGTGCTGCATTTAAACCTTGTACATAGCCTTTCACCTGTCAATAGTTGAACTGAACATAACATTAGAAGCCATGAATCAACATCTCACGACAGTGAACTTACTCTTGTATTTGATGTGCTAATGGTATGATGTAGGCCTAACAGCCTGTAAATCCAGCGTAGAGCCAAAATACTGGAAGACCATGTGAACATTTACCCAAGAGTATTATCTACTAAGAGTTAATAGATTAGATGAATAGGAAGGTATCGGTTGCTGAATGTTGTCGAACCCGGAACACTTGCCGGTTTGCACTTGGTGAGATGCGCATTGCGATTGACTGTCACGTATAGCTGAGACTAGGACCAGAAAAGCACATCGACATCTTTATAGAAGTATCTACCCTTTCTATTTCGACAAGCTCACTCTTCACTACTCGAAGTTCAGAGGCCGAATGCGTCCCCCAAGGCTGTCGAGATTTGATCATTGCGACATCCTCGTGGCCCCTATCGTTGTTGATCAAATTCCAATACGTGAATTGGAGTCACCCGAACTTGTTGTTGAAGACCCTGAATGGTTAATTAAGTTTGCGAGGCAGTAGAGCACTAAATTTAGGAAATGCAACAGAGGCATTACTTTGCTACGTCAAATGCCATGACAGGACAGAAAGTTGCATTCCCCTTCTTTTTCATGTCATATATGCCATGGAAAGGTTTTATAAGTTTTGACAAATTACTATGGAGATGTGTTATATGCGTGGCCATGATAGACCGTGGCATTCTTTTATGGGTAGAGGCCTTCCAGTCGTTTGCTCGGCGTCCCAGTCTTGCGAGCAAGCACCTCAAGCATCTGCGGTATTCCTTTCGGTGCTTTTAACGGCGGATCAGGTTCCTCTATATCCGAGTCAGAATCAGAGTCAGAGCCAGATCCCCAATCCATATCCATGGCTACCAGTTCATGCATTTCAACGAAATCGTTGCTGTCGAAAATGCCTTCGCGGTGGTTCAGCTTGCGGAGGAGATCAAGTGCTTGCAGCCTCTCATCCCTGCCTTCATTCGAGATGGCAACAAATGATAGACCGGAGACTAGACATCCGTCTAGTGAGAACGTAGGTTGGTCTAGCGCTATTAAAGGTGCGGCTACTTTCTCCGCGGCCTCTATAAAGGCTTTGTACGGATGGGGAGGCTGTCGTCCTTTGTTATCGTACACGTTGATGTACATTTGTAGAGACTGATAGTGGAGCTCCAGAGTTTGGATATGCGCTATCTCATCATTCGACAAGTTTGGCATCAATCGTTCGGTCAAAACTTGGAAACGGGAATTCCAGAGGAGGAGCATGTCCTCAAAATCGCTGTCGTTGGCCGGCCCGTCTTCTCTCTCCGGGTTCCATGGCTGGAAGTCGTGGTGCAGTCTTAGCTCATGCAAGGCATATGATGCCTCGCTGAGAGTTTTGAACATTGAGTCACAGCCCTCGTCACTGCTAGTGTCACTACGACACCATTTCTTGATGCCCGAGAGAGGATGGTCTCCCATATAGCCAGACGATGCAAGGCCCATCTCGCTAAACATGTCCACAAGTCCCTCTAGCATCTCTGAAGCAATCGAAGAGCTTTGGTGGCGCAGTGACTGAAATACAGTATCGCCAGCCGCGAGATGTTGCAACAGCTGATCGTACCGACCAGTGAGCCCCTCACAAGTCATGAAGAGCAGACAGCAGATCAATATGCAATGAATGTTCTCATCCGAAGGTGCAGACATTACGGGAAGAATTGAGGATATGGCTCTGTTGTAGTGCTGGATGACAGGACGCTGAAGGGGATCAGGACAGGAATATGGTAGGCGTTGCGCCATGTAGGCTCGGTGAGATGCCCCAACTGCAATCATGCTGTACCGGATAGCATCGTAGTGATAGGACATCGGAAGTGCGTATTTGAGCCAGAAGTTCATGGCAGCAGACGCGGGTGAAAGCTGTTTCGCTGTCCAGTGTAGGAAATGTTGAAGGTAGCCTTTTTCAGAGTCTGATAACAACGAGAGTTGGTCAACACTCTGCATAGACAGCAAGGGCAGCAGCACGGTGACATCAGGCTTCGAGGGGGGTTCTCGACGCTTGGAGCGCTTGGAGGCATTGAGCTTAGGTGGTGCATATCCGTCGCACTTCATCTTGTCGTTATGGCAGCGTCGACAAAAAGGTTTTGCTTCATCGCATTTCAAGTGCCTGATTCTAAAGGGAGGAGAAGTATGAGCTTTATACAGGAGGGTTTGAGAGGGTGTTTGGACTCACTTGCTGTGGTGTTTCCCAATTAGTGATATTTTACGAGAAACGAGGCGGTAAGCTATCAACGTACCAGGTGATACATCCCGTTCTGACCTTGGGAG